GGAGGGAGGACAGGAAAGGAAGGGAAGGGAAAAGGGAAAGGGAAAGGGAGCCTGCCTTCATGGATAACTGCCCCTCCTGCACAAAAAAATATGACATCTGAGACAAATTATTTGTTTATTCTATAAATAAATAAATAAAAATAATACTTAAGCCAGAATCTCCCTAGAGATCAGTTCCTAATGCTTACATGTAATTTTCTTGGCAATAATGTAGGAGTGGTCTCCCACCTGTCATCTTCTGGGGTCTGTGTCTGACTTCCCAGTTTAAGCTAGAGCTCTGATCTCCCATCCAAGGCCTGACCCTGTTTAGTTTTTTAAGTTCATCCAGGAGTAATCACTGTGTCGGTCGGTGTTGTCTGCACCTGGAAGTTTGTTAAAAAGCTGTTTGTGCTTCTGGATGACTCTCTCTTGTGTGGGAATGATCAGATCAGGCTCTTTGAACCTGTATCGGTTTCATTTTCTTCAGTCACGAGCCCATTCCACCCTGCTAGAAAGGGGGGGAAATCAGAAGAGAAAAACACACGAAGGGTGAGCAGCATTCTGCAGGACCTCATCGCTCTTGCCTGCATGACAAAAATAGCATTGCAGCTTCACACCACAAGGTCCACCCCTTTTGGGCGTGCATGAAGCATTGTGACTTGGAGTGAGGATTGATTTGCCACCACTCATGCACATTTGGTATACATCGTCTCCTCAACTGTTAGTTCTTCTGCATAATCTATTTAGCTTATGAATGGCATTGCAACCTTCTTATTCAATCCACCTACTGAGGACCATTTGCTAAAATGGTGGCTGAACAAAATTCCCCAGAAGCATTTCTATTGCTGCGTGACTCCTTTAAGGTACATATTATAATTTCATGTATTTCCACAGAATAGTGGGCTACCCTGCTATCAGTTATTTGCAACTTATTCAGATGGCGTGGGGAGATTACAGACAAGGAGGTTTAAGGGTGCATGAGAGTTGCCCATTCCTCTTTCTGTGAAGCTCCTTTATGTCTGATCCAAACAATCTATTTGCACAGAGCTTGAGTGGTGGGTTTTGACAACACTGTTGTGAATGTTGAGGGAGTGACCAGTGGAGAGTTTCACTCCTTCCATTCGAATTCTGTAGCCTTCTGTACCAATGGTTGTGTGACATGTTGGATGAAGAAATAACACAGTACTTGTATCAAACTTGAAACACTCTTAGCTGACATAACACCCTGCATTCTTTCCCACCTGCCTTCTCTCATCCCACAGGGGGAAGCTTGTGAGTCGTGTCCCATCATCGACACAAACCTATCTGGAGCAGTTGGTATCCCAGGGAAACCTGGTCCAAAGGGGGACCATGGTCTTCCAGGTGTGGGACAGCCAGGCAAACCTGTAAGTAGCTTTCTAACCAATCCAATCAGTGATCCGGAGTTCCGTTATGAGTTGCCCATTAGGGTGAATTTTTAATTGAGAACTTGATCTGGTATTATAACTAAGACTCACCCCGGTTCTTCCCAGTTATTTGTATTGAGAAGGCAGAACGTTTCAGGCTGCATCTTTAGCAAACCATGTTACTCTGTATTCCTGGGATGGAACTGTTAGCTAGTCAGTGGTCTTCTAGAAATGCCTTGACGCGTTGGACCAGCTTGCCAGCTCATCCAGGGCTGTGTTCAATTTTCCAGTAATTGAATTTCCTTCAGTGTCAGAATGCAGTGTCTCATGGTTCTCACTCAATGTGGCCTTGAGTATGTTGTCTGGGGATTATGGGGCTTGTAATCAGGAAGGCATCAAATTGGGGAAGAGTAGTATGCCGCTATCATGGCTAATAGCTGTTGGCAGAATTCTTCTTCCATGAATTCCTCTAATCCCTTAAGACAAGAGCCATCATCAGAGCGTGCAGTAACGACTTTCATCAGTTAATTACGCATTGCATGAAGATACACTTCCTCTCGTCTGCTGCGAGCTTGGTTCCAATCAAGTTTATTTGAAGGCACCGTGTTAACTGCTGGTTTTTATTCCTTTAATTAACTGATTTGATTTACATATCAGAACACCTCCATCAAGGATCTTCTTTGAAAAAAGGTGACCATTGCCGAACAATGAATGTCAAATCACTGTTATTTTAAATGTTACCAGACCTTGATTAGCAAAAGAAAATCTATTTTTGTGGGGTTTTTTTTTTAATTAAGGCTACAAAATAAGCCAGGCTGTAATCTTATTAAGTTTGTGAATATATCTGATGATTTGGAGGATAACTTACAGTAATAGCACTTTAGTTATATTCTCACAAATATTGCTCTTTAACCTTAATTTTAGAGATATGCCCTTATTCATGCTGGCAGAGTGAAGAGATGACCCAGTCTAATTCTTTGTGTATTTTGTAATTTCACTCATGCACAGAAGAGACCTAGAATTTCCTACTGGGATTCAGAATTCAGCTTACTCAAAATCTCCATGTTGATTTCGTTTTAAAAGAAGAAATAAATTTCTAGCCTTCAGGTTGTGAAGAGAAGCTTAAAAGGATGAAGAGAAATGAAAGTATTTGGGTCTGTTTTAGCCTTGAGAAGAGATCGAAGATTATATGAGAGCAGTCTAAATACCTGAGGATATCATACAAAGGAGGCTAAGACCTGTTCTCTGTCATACCAGAGTGCAAGACAAGGAATAATGGATTTAAGTTGTAGGAAGGCAGGCACTAGTCAAGTGTGGTGAAAAATTTCTTTTCAGCAGTGGAACCAATTACTAAATGAGGTGAATTTCTCTGCACTGGATATGTTCACGCAGAGACCAAGGAGCCATCTGTCGAGAATGCTTTAATTTGGCTTCTTACTTGGAGTACAAGGTTCAACTTGATTGCCTAAATGACCCCTTCCAAAATTTAGAAGTGTAAAGGCTTAAGATTTATACAGCCATTCACTGGCGATTGCCCTTTCCAGTTTAAACACACACTTCTTCAGTTTTGGCAAATCAACGGTACGGTCCTCAGTTTTCTCCCTCAGAATTATCTGTGAATTGTAAACTGGTCAAGCAAAGATGGGGAACCTGTAACTACAGCTGCAGTTCCTAGCAACCCTTGTTGTTAGCCATTGGCTAGGAATATTGGGAGTTGCAGTCCAGCATCTGGGGGCTTCAGATTTCCATCTCTTTGATAAAGCAATCTTCTCAGACATTCAGATGTAATTGGCCATACAGGCTGGGGATTATGGGAGGTGGTCCAGAACATCTGGAAAAGGCTGTTGTAAAAGATGGAAGACATTTCCCTTGAGTTTTGTCTAAGATGCCACTGAACTAAATACCTTCAGGTGGGCAGAGTTGAAAGTTCTAAATAATTTGGACTAATTTTTTTATATGTTCCTCCTCTAACTACCAGGGAAAACCAGGACTCCCAGGTATTCAAGGGCCTCCTGGCTTGAAGGGGCTACAGGTGAGTAAGAAGCAGTGTGGTATTCATTCAAAGGTATCTCATCTGTTTGGATAACCTTTTCTCAGACACCCATTTTCAGCTTTCCTAGGGTGATAGAATAGACACATGGAAAAATGAGTTGCTATTGTTAAGTGGCTACCATGAGCTCCAGACCAATTTTAGGGCAAATAAATAAAGCTCATGGAGTAGTAATGTACTGTCGAAAGCTTTCACGGCCGGCATACGATGGCTGGTGTGGGTCTTCCGGGCTGTGTGGCCGTGTTCTGGAAGTTTTGTTTCCTAATGTTTCGCCAGCATCTTCAGAGTGCAGGAGCACAGACAGGAGCAGTTCTCTCTGTGGAAAACCAGGACTCCCAGGTATTCAAGGGCCTCCTGGCTTGAAGGGGCTACAGGTGAGTAAGAAGCAGTGCTTTCACGGCCGGCATACGATGGCTGGTGTGGGTCTTCCGGGCTGTGTGGCCGTGTTCTGGAAGTTTTGTTTCCTAATGTTTCGCCAGCATCTTCAGAGTGCAGGAGCACAGACAGGAGCAGTTCTCTCTGTGCCCAGGGTGATGTGACCCTTCTGTGGGTATTTATAGAGATCTGAGGGGGAGGGGAAAGGGGGGATTGGGTGTGTGTGTGGGGGGGTTGGGTTACTGAGTGGCTGCTTGTTTTGGTGTCAGCATCTGTGTGTATCGTCGAAGGCTTTCACGGCCAGCATATGATGGCTGGTGTGGGTCTTCCGGGCTGTGTGGCCGTGTTCTGGAAGTTTTGTTTCCTAACGTTTCCCCTCCCCCTCAGATCTCTATAAATACCCACAAAAGGGTCACATCATCCTGGGCACAGAGAGAACTGCTCCTGTCTGTGCTCCTGCACTCTGAAGATGCCGGCGAAACATTAGGAAACAAAACGGCCAGAACACGGCCACACAGCCCGGAAGACCCACACCAGCCACCTCATGGAGTAGGTTGGGCATAAGGCAGTGATCAGAAGGCCTCCACAGGATGGGTTGAGACACTGATTCTGATTCTTTGGAAGATGGAA